ACTTTTTCCCTGTGCCATTCCACATTATTACAAATAACTTCATTTCTGGACATTTATGGTTTGATTTCTTTGTRTGTATGGATCACTTGGGTTGTTACCGACATCTGGTGAAAATTTCATGTCATTAGYGCCTCTAGTAATAAATTTACTGAGAAAAATGGTGACGTGTTCAATACTTATTTTACCCGCTGTATGTCATCCAGGACATGGTAAATAATAAAAAAGTTAAAAACTAAACATCTGGACTTCCAGTCTGTGTCCCATCCAGGAGGTTTTATTAATTCATAAAATGTTTTGTGTCTTGTCAAGTGTGGAGTTGTCAAGCTTTATAGAACTGCTTGTTAGTGTTTAGATGAGACTAAAACTGCTTCCCCTCACATTAAAGTCATTAGGATTTTTATCTACTTTGTTTGCCACGTTCACAAGAGAAATGTTTGGATCACAGGTATGAATTAGACTGGAACTGGCTGGAAATTGGGCTTAATGTATGGTTTTGAAAAACCCACCGTATGTTTCGTTTGTTTGGACTTATTTTTCACACCGTTTTGTGTCTAATTTCATTTTAAAGAGTTGGCTGGTGAGAAACAGTTTCACATCCTGCTTTTGAGAAACAAGAAACTCCTCCTGTGTCTCAGTGCTGCTAAAGTTACAAAGCAGGTTTGTGACTCACTTTTTATGAAGTCAGAACTCTGACCTGTAAAGAGCACCAGTTTAATCTTTTCCTCCTCCACATCCTACGCATTGCTCTCATTTCTTCAAGTGTAAAGCAAGGGGCTAAAACCAGATGATACGTCATTTCAGATACATCTACCCACCTGGTTCTCCACGATTAGATTCTGACAGATGAATTTATGGAAATCTGCTGAATTATAATGGGTGTGCATGAGAAGAAATATTCTCATGGCAAGCAGAGGATGAGTAGTGAGATCATATTTTGAGCCATGTGACTGACAGCACAATGGAAAATTAGCATCTGAAAGACATTCCTTTCCATTTCGCACTAAAAAAAGACAGATACCAGGTTCCACCATGAACAGTGCAGATACATAGTAGAAGCTATTATGGTCTACATAAAATCAAAGAAAGAGTTTTTAAAGGGGTGTTTAATCAAGCAGGAAATTAAGAGTAGATTAGTTAATATATTCACAATCTAAGAGGACCGTTCAAGGGAACCTTTACTGCTAGATATTATGTGAAAAACTGCAGCCATATGTTTCCACCCAGGCTTGTTAACAGGTGACTTCAGCTGCACCAGGGAAAAAAGGTTAATAAGCTAATCAATGAATGAGAGGCTGGACTGCCTACGGTTGCTGGTAAACATTTCCAGGAAGGCTGGATCAGCCGCAGATAACTCTGACCCTGTTTCTCCACGTGTTGAAGGTCGCTCTAAATGCAAACTGTAATTCCCTTCATCTCCTGTGAACATTAGGAAGAGAAATGGACATTCACAGGGAAAACAGCTGACACCTCCCAAGTCAAACATAGATTAGTTTGTGTCCACATCCCTCCTCCCGCCCCTCACCTGGTGAGATGACAAGTCACACTGTAATGAGTTTTGTAAAGATTTTCTCAGATCAATGTCCTCATCAGTCACCCATCGCCTGTGAACTGTGATTCACGTGTTGTTGTATGCTCTGGCAGGCGATAGATAGAGGAACCATCGATTTGTCTCACTTTGTTCGGCAGGCAGGCAGGTGGTGGGGGGTTAGAGCAGGGAGGGTGGGGTCTAGTGCAGGTGGAGGTGGTGAGAAAGAGGAAGAACAGTCAAGGCCTCGGCCCTGAAAGCCCAGAGCTCTCTCACAGCTGAAGATGAAACCGGTGTGTTTACATTCTCACAGGTTCTGATCACACCATGATACCACAACTATCCCAAACAAGAGGCTCAGCAGCTGAATTGGGCTTCAAACTCTACAAAACCTTTAGCCGTGAGCGCCACCTTGAGGGCCTCAAAAGAACAACAGTTTTTAACTTTGGGCCGCAGAGGGCCGTGGGACCGCATTGATTTTAAATAAGGTGCAATACACTTTCTCACCACTA